TAACTAAACTAAAATAATGACGGAAGCCCTTATTAAAATATGTTTTTTGTGTGTGACCCCAAAGTGACAGACGCAAAACAATACTTTTGTAACTATACGTTATTACCTTTTAAAATTAGAAACAGATATTTAAAAGTAAATCAAGATGTGTTGATGTGTATGTCTACAATTGTGAATATCACATATAATGTGATGATAGGCAAAGATTATTCTAGCAACCAAGATAAGGTGAAGGACTCCTTGTCGTGATATTCTACATTATGGTTAGTATTTTATTTAATAAACATTTTACGAAGCTATTAATGCTCTTAATGTCATTATAAAGTTTTTCAACATCTAGTTAATAGTATATAATTAAAGGTATAGCAAATAATTGATCTAGTTAAATCAATTTTCATTTAATTCTAATTTTTTTTACTTTAAATTACATACATATGACCCTATTTAGTAAGGGCATATAACTATACAGGTACAGCTAGCATATTCTATTGCATACGTGCGCCTTCAAGGTAAAATAAAGTGTGCATTCCTTAGTCAACGATTAAATTTGCACGCATGTAAGGTATTTATTATTAAACTAATATACGAGTACTACAAGTTAACCGCCATATCAGTAACAACAATGGGTATGAGACAGAGAGACGGCATTACCTATCTATATATACGTTTGTGCCCATAATTAGTGTGATACTTAATAACTATTATAATGATGACCATCAAGTCTTCAGTTGACTTTGTTGCACTATTTTCAGCTGACATAACAAAATTTACTATAGAAGTTACTATTATATCTAGATACTATCCTACACAATTAATATTGTTTTGGATAAGTAAATACATCTGCTTTGCCAAATGAGTAACGTGTCGAATTGTTAATCTGAGTAGAATTAAAGACTTACAATATTTGTTAATGTTCTGAGACCCTTTTAGCTATTTGTCACTTTCTCCTGTTTGAAATGAAACTGGAAGTAATTTCTCTGCATGTGTGGTGCATGCAAAAAGACGTCATATTCCCGGACGCAGCTGTCAGGAATACCCTGGGAAAGTGCCGCCCGCCAGCTCTCACTGCGGACGGCCGGACGCCGCTGTGTGGAGCCCACGCCGCTACTGACATTGAACGTCAATTATTATGAACTTGACTTACTTTTTATACTTAGCATATTATTTGCTAGTCATTTGCTCTGGTTTTGCACAGGTCTATTATTATAGAAATCTCTACTTTCTTGAAAACAAAATAAAGACCATGTTATTCACTCATATTGTAACTATAGGATACTACTATAGGAAAAATTACTATTTCATAATCGATTAAGTATTTATTGGAGTTTATTCATTACAAACATATTCTTTAAATTATAATACTTTATTCTTTAAATAAAAATATCGTCGTTAAAATACTAATTCGGAATAAAGAACAATTTCGTTGTATCCTGTTGTTTTAAATGTATTTATTGTACATAACAGTGTTACAAATAAACAAACGAACTATTTCTCAATAAAGATCACATTTTTAATTGAGATATTACATATTATATTTTAACATGCCTATATATAATAGTTTCCGTTTAATTTTGGTTTATGACAAGGTATTCAGAACCTAGAATTTTCAACCTTATTTATGAAAGACTTTTTAAAAGTCATAGGGAACGTTCCCTTCAATGCGCAAATTGTAAACATACTCGACGCTCTAAATAATGTGCTAACCTAGTGCACCACCAGTTTAGAAAAAACTAATGAAATCTTTGTTATCAACTTTTCTAAAGCTGAATATTTAACTAGCTAAAAAAATATAACATAGCGACCTGGTAGTTTACAATCCTATTTCTTAAGACCCTACTAGTCCTGTATATAACATCTGTAATGTTCTAACTAATATTAGAATGTAAAAGGATGAGTGGGACTAATAACGGAATCTATTAATAAAATATGAGCTAATTTAAACAACATAACTAAACCAGAAAATAATGTAGATACATTATTGTTAACTCTATTTAAATCAATATTTTCACAATACTCTTGAGTGTGTGGGTTGCTGTGAAAATGTTATTGTATTGGAGACTAACAGATGCAAACGTTTTCTTGTATAAGTAAGTGAAGGCGTATGTAATGGTTCATTGTTTTTACGGTAAATGGTCTGAGATTACACAAATTGATGCATGTGTACTATAGAAGTGAAAGGAAGTATTCACATTTAGATAATAGATTCTCGTTTTTTAAAAAAACAATGCGGCTACTGTTGTTACATATACGATGGAAAATAATAGGAACTACAGAGTTATGTATGGTCACGTTCTCATAGTATTAAAAATTTTAAATGTCTATATTTACTGTCTAACATAAGTAGTATGTAAATATTGTAAATTGAATATTACTGTTCATACAAGGTCTTTGTGGACAAACTAAAAGACACTAATGAATTCACTTGCCTTTTATAAGTAATACTAGCCAGCCAGACCGTAAATATGGATTACCTCATTAGGTTCAAGGTTATAGTGGTTTGTGGTCTTTTGATAATGGCGAATAATAAAAATCCTTTCAGATACCTGTGCTACATAATGTATTTTTAAAAATATAAAGTCAATCCCTTTAAGATAGACTTAAGATGCACTTAGCATCCACCGGTTACCTTTAAACCCATTGCTCTCAGCTCACGTCGTTTCCTAAAATCACACCGTAGTAGCATTACAATCTGCACTTTTCGGTTCGATTCATTGCCAGATCGGTTTAGTTGCGACGCGTACTCGGTCGGCGGCTGGTGAAGTTGTTGTAGAACTAGTCTAGGGCGTCCGTCGTGTCTAGACGGCGCGTCGGGGCCCTATCGGCTGCCGTAAAATTATGTGACGTGGGCGGGCCCTGTACCGCTCTAGGATATCAGGGTAGATTCGATCTTCATTCACTTATTTAATTTATGGAAAACTTGTCGAAGTATCCGGTATGCATTAAGTAACACTTATCACGTACGTTAGATTTGCGTAGATACTATTTATGTTTTCAACCCTTCTAAAGAGAGAATGGTTAAATTATAGAGTACATTGTACATTGTGTGAGTACATTGTACATTTGTATGGCATGTTCTATGCTAAGTCAATTTTAATGATTATCCTAATTTAAGATTTATTCATGAATATATTTTACTAAAATAAAACAATGATACTACATCATAGTATCATTGTTTTACGCAGATTTTAGAACTCAAATATAAAATGTGAACTAACTATATACCTACACATGTATGTTACGAGTAAAATGCAATACAGAATTATAATAGCATGGAGCCCGTATTTCATTCCATGTGATACATTTAAAATTAAATTTAAAAGCAAATTCCGTTAGCGTTAGCGTGCAAGATTTGATACAAAGTCAGAGCACGTCGCCAAAAGCAAGATGGACCCGTCCAGGATGACCCTAGTTAGCCTTCTGATTCGGTGGAATACATAGTAAGCGAGATGTTCTCACTTTTTGTAAAGATATAGCTTCGGCTTCTTTTTGAATATAATGTTTATTTACTTTTATTGTAACTTACCATTGACAAATAATTTGAAGGCTCGCGTAATTGTATAAAGTAATAAGTAGAGACAGTTTAACTGATACTACATCAGTTAAACTGTCTCTACTTTTTACTAGAATAGGATACGAAAAAAATATCCTAATAATAAATTTATGTATTATTATTACTACTACTGCCAAATAAATAAGTTTACTTAAATAATTACTACATTTACATCGACATAATATTATATAGAGATGCAATTGAGATGGCTCCAGATAATCCATATGTCTTAAACGCAACGGTGCAACAAAGGAATCTAGATCAACGTACAATGCGCTGTTTACGAAATACGTTAGTAATTTGTGGGGTGTTAACATCTTTTCTCTGGTGAGAGTCTTGCTAAATGGCGAAACTGGCAACTCAACAATGGAACAAACGTTTGCTACCGGGCCAGTGTCGGCGCGGGCGCATATCTGTTGCGGGTCATCGCGCTGTAACCTTTCACTAGCCATGCACCTCAACCAGCTCGCTCACTCCGTCCACAGGCTGTACGGCTTCGCACGACCAATCACTACCACTCTATAATCCAATTCCAGCAATAAACGTGAGCGAGACTTATTTGCATGGCAGCGAATTTCTCTTTTTCATTCAATATTTTGTTTTAATTTCATATTCATTCTTAACAATGAATATTTTACAATGGGACGTCCCCTGTATAAAATATGGCGCGAAATTAAACGCAAACGTCTTCATAATTTAATTAATCTAAAACAACATTGATATACCAGAATTGGTCGCCTTAAATAGGATCAGTAACAAAGGCTTCCCCGTTTCACGCTGCGTCTATCCCCTTAATTATCAGACAGAGGTAACCACAAATAAAGGGCTATGTTCGTTGTGAGCGAGCAAGATGGGACTATTATGGCTAACTTAGTATGAAGACACAAGGGAAATAAACGTATGTATATCCAAGGTCCTATTAGTAGGTCAATAGGATATTACCGTCTTTATATCCTGAATTATTGCTCTATTTATTAACCAAACACAAAGACGATAATTCTATATAGGTAGGTACTTGTAAGCGATGTGATTACTAATAGTACAAATTTACTAAAAAAATATTGCACTGTACCTAAAACATGTCAGCACATTCATTGTTAATGAACTCTTTAAATCAAGTAATGGCTTCCTTAAATACATACATAAATATATTAAAAAGTAGTTGTTGAGTAGTAGTTGGTCGTTTCGTGAAATAAATTAATTTCTAGTCATTACTTATATAACAAAATACACTTACATTGTTTTTACTGTACTTTTTAGAAACATTATTAGTAAGTGGTTAATCACGCATACGTAAGTGGGAATATACAGACTTACATACAATATAAAACAAAAAGATTATAAATTACACGCTCGTGCCTTTTGATTGGCGTTTGTAATTATTTTTTCTAATGGTTTTGATTTTATTAGCCGCATACGGAACTTAGGTAGATATGCGGCAAAGAAAAGAATGGAGGCTCGATTGAGTATTCTGTATTTATTAACGATATTATTTAATAAAGTAAGTAATACAAATATTTTGATATACATAATACGAGTGTATATACTTAATCGAAAAGAATTGGTTTTAAATACTATTATTTTATTGAATAGGCTCATACAGATCCGCGTATTGATACAGTCAGAACAACTTCTTCTAAGATTATTAAACGTAAGTACAAATTCCACATACCTATAACATCCCTTCCATTAATTATTTATACTATTTTTACCTAGAACATGATTCAAATTAAGTCGAGACCACAAAATTTAAGATCAGGAATAAACAATAGAAAACATTCTGAATATTCACACTATTAAAAAAATCCTGACACTGGAATTGACGACGACCTGGACCTGACCTGATATCATCAATTGAAGAACAGGCTGTCGATATAAATGAGGAAAACGAAGAATACAAAAGCAATCATAGCAGTTATACATATACAACTGTACGACTGTATCAAGATACATAAACCCCACAATTAAATAAAATAAATAATACAGGTCAATAAAACCTGCCTATCTTTTCTGTTTTTATTCTTAGAATCACTTTCTAATGAAAGAGACAAGTTTATTAATTACTATCGGTTTCCCGCGACTTCGTCTGCTCTTTTTAAGATAAAAGATAACCTTAGTCTGACCTCCAGATAAAATCTATCTTTATATCCATTTTTATTACAACCTGTACAGCTGTTTTATTGTGAAACGGTAACAAATAGACAAAAATATTTTCCCTTTTATAATATTATATATTACGGGATATATATTAATTTACGGTAGAAAGAATATTAACTTCATTCAATTTTAAATTAACAGAATGGATTTAATTTGGATAAGTGTAATATTTTGATGTATAAAGAAGCTAACTTGTCAATTAATATTTTTTTGTGTATTATTAAATCATTATAAATTACTTCAACGTTATTACAGTTCAAGATCCACCATTACACAGAGGACTCAAAGCGGGTAGATATCTCATTGTATTTATTATATGCAATACATTTAAACATCAACAATCGTATAATAAAACAATATATTTTCTATATACAGGTGACATCTTGACGCCCTACGAATTATTGCCGATTACGAAAAAGCTTATCGACAAAGGTTTAATCTAATAAAACTAAGCAATAATTACATATATTAATCTTAATAATTTATCCATATTTAATTATTTTAAAAATAATGTTTCAATTTGGGGGGAGGAGGAAACTGTTAGGAATAAAGACTAGTGGCTTTATTGCTAGTAAAGGACCCTATTAGGTCGACCTCCAGGCGGTCTCCTCTCTAAATAGTAATGGTTAACTCCAATTGAATTCACCTCGAAGGTAACTGACTTGACTTCAAAATCATTATAATATCGTTAGTAGAGACAGGTTGATAGATAGATAGATAGATAATAGTTTTTATTTGTATCAATCAATTTGTATACTATCAATATCATCCATTAAAAAATATTTAAATTAATTTTAATATTCAATTTCATTAAATTCTATTATATTTCAGTTGAAGAACCAGGACGTAAGTGAATTTTATATTACATAAATGCATAGACATTAATTACTTTCATGCATCTTCATGATGTACAAATTATTTATCAAAATATATACCATTTGCAGGAGGAAAAGGTATAGTTAGCTCTGCAATAAGTCCTGAAGATCTCGCGGATAAATTATTTAAATCATTCTGTAAGTATCTGAAGTCTAAATTCATTAAATACATTTTATATTTTAAATTATGCTTACATATAAATTTATTATAACTTTCTTACAGTCTTTACTGAAGGGCGCATAGTAAAGTTACAAGGTTAAGTAATTCAATTAATTAATGATCAAAATATTACAATACAACGACTTCGGTGGTCTAGAAGTTCAACACATTGCCTTACCGCCAATGGTAACAGGTTCGATTCCCCGTAAACAATTTGTAAATTGCTCGCAAACACTTGCATTCATTAGTACTAGTGTTTCTATTGATCTGGGTGTTTTATTTGTAGGTATATTATGTATGTATTTACAAAAAAAAATATCTACACAAGGTCTGCTTAGTTTGGGACTAGACGTCGCTATAGAAATTGTCCAGTTCCAGTGCTATTATTATTATATTGTTTTCATCAGATCGTGATGAGTTAGATAATTAGATATTACATATAACTAATGTTTTACTATTTTAGAGTTTGATATTTCCGGTCTCGACGCTCTTCAGGCTTTAGCCCTCAGCGGAGAAGGTACAAATACGTACTATTTATACAATTTTCATTATATTATACACTAAATACAAGTAAAGGTGTATAAATATTTTTATATTTATACACCTTTACTTGTATTTAGTTCAATATTGTAAATTAATTATTAAATTTCTATGTTTATTTATAATTATTACCGCTTTACGACCGATGGTCGCGGGTTTTATTCCTTGCACGGCTCAAACATTTGTATTCATGAGTATGATTGTTTGTCTGGGTGTTTTTCTATGTATAATATGTATGTATTTACAAAAAAAAATATCTACATATTTGTATCAGTTATCTAGTACCCATAACACAAGTTTTAGCTAGCTTAACTTGGATCTAGATGGTGCTGTGTGAATTGTCCTGAGATTATTATTATTATTATTAATGAAAAATTTCAGTGGTAAACTTAAGAAACTCATACGGCGTAATAAATGAAAAAATATCAACTATAAGTTATAGAGGTATGTGTATATTAACAGAGAATGTATATAATATAAATAATTTCGTAAGCATGCAGAGACATCGGCAATAAATTATTATATATTTATTTCAGGACAAAATATTATTTTGGACCAAAAACCCAAAACATGTCAATACACATGTAAGTAGCTAGCTATGTTCTGCATAATCAAATACATATAGGTATATACATATTATTTACTTATACGAAATGTACAAGTACACATCAAATTCTAACTTCTACACTTATTAAATGTTGTATATATTTTTTTTACTGTGTTACACATACTAATTTAATAAAACTTTTTGAATTCTATTCGTATTTTTGTTAAATTATGATATTCATCACAACACTATCAATAAATTTAATATGTGGTTCGCCAAACTACGTTCAATCTTAAAAAATACTCACCTACTAGTCTTAAAAAGAAAGAAAACTATTTATTCCCGTGTGAAAAAAAATATGTAAGGTTTTTACTGCAATTTATCATGTACCTAACGATTTCAGTGATAACGAAGCCTGTTGAAGACAACATGAAAATTGAACGGCGAGGTAAAAATAAGTAGCAATATAAAAAACACTATAAGTAAGATCACATATGGTTATTAAGTGTTTTTTTTTTGTTTATCCACTAAAATAATTTTTAATATAATAAATTTTAATAGCTATTTACGTCAATCCGTAGATATTTTATTGTTTTTAATTTGATTTTATTTATAATGCATCTATGAGTATCTATGTTGAAATCAATACAGGAATAAACACTCTCAAATTAAAAACAGAATCCAAAAATTTGAGTCTAGTTTGTAAAGTACTCAGAAAAAGTAGGTACATTATTACATAATGATAATCTTTTTTTCTAAATACTTTGAAACCTATTTCCTAATTAATTTACGGCAAAGTTTTCAAGAAAATAGTTTTATCTAATGTAAAAAAAGTAGGTATTTTATTAAATTTGAACTAAATTATGGTATAATATCTTTTTCATAAATACAATTTAAGCATTTATTTACATAACTTAATGGACAATAGATATAGAAAAAGTACTTATAATAATTTAACATTTTGTGGTTTTTATATCATATTAGTGCGGAGCTTCTTAATTTTATCATTTGTTTCACTTATAGAACTAGCGAAGAAACTAGCAAAAAAGAGACGTTTGGTAGTAAATTCCAACCGTAGACATATAAAATTGAACAACAAAAGAAAAAAGGAAAGAGTAAAAGTTACAACTACCAGATACATGAAAATAAAAAAGAACAAATCTTCGAAGATATTACAAAAGAAAGGTAAAATTAATTAAATTGCGTTTTTTATTTTCCTTTTCAAAGTGTAGGTACGTTCAATTTAGTGGGACGAAAATCGTAAAACGAATTTATTAATTTTTTATATTTTTTGTTATAGATGGACCAACTACCAAGAAACACGTTAATAAAAGAAATAAGACTGGCAAATCAGTAAAGGAAAAAAAGGGTACAGTTAAATGATACCTAGTCGGAAAATGCATTTTCAGTTCTAATCTTAAAACTTATTAATTATTAAAGAGCACAATAGCAACGACTAAAATACCTGATTAAATCCGATTTCCAATTTGTAATATCTATTCTCAGCGCTAGTGTGGATGACAGCTGACGCTTTAGTATTTTTTTACTGTAAAAGAACTAAATATTTTTAATGAAATTTTCAGAGCCAATTTATGCATTTTTCAGTACTCACAGTTTTAAATTATATTCTATCATAAAATTCTTTGAATTCTACTCTGTTCGTAGTAATTTAAGAAATGTATAAGAATGCATCCAATTTAAAAAATAGTTGATTTCGGTTTCGTACTTATTTCTAGCACAGAATTTTAGAGAACAAGAATGTAATATTCGTAGTTCATTGTTTTCGAATTGTTAAACAGATTGTTAATCAGTATCTATTAATATTTATATTAATAATCCTATAAAATATTATCGTATGCTTTTTAGATGAAGTGACTGAATGTCGATGGCAATACAAGTGTAGTAATCCTGCAAATCTAGATACCTGTCGATTAAATACTAAATGCACGAAAAAGGAAAGCTTAAAAACAACACCTGAATGTAAGACCATAAATATTAATTGACATGACATACTAAAAAATCAAGTTTCCACACTTAATAAATAATATGGTTTCAGTTATATCTATACAGCACAAGCCAGATGAACATTCACTTGCGATAAAGCAGTTTCGTAAAATGTGTAAGTTAATTATTTTACCAATATGCGTATATTTCGAATTTTATTTTATGATACCGGAACTGGTATTTCATAGCTACCCGAGCGTCAGTTGCTAAATCTTTCATTGATGTGACCCATATAATATACTATTAAAATAATTTGTTCATTCAAAAGAAACAAACATCACAATTTAAGTAGAACAATAATATCGACTGTAATAGAAACAGTATATAATAAATTTTGGTGTAAATGTAACATAATACACATACAAAAATATACCGTGATACTGAGTTCATTTCGGGAGTTAGATAAAAAGTTTACAAATATTTATCTAGGTTATGCAATTATTTCATTAACTATATTAAATGTACTGAAGGTATTTTCTTAATCAAAATCATTAATAAAATTGATTATATCTATGAAATCAGCAAGCTCTTTTGCCGATAAGGCAGAAGGTCACCGTCCCAAACAGTAATCTCATGGGATTAAGTTACGAGTATATTATGTAAATGCGGCTTTTCTCTTGATCTGATTTGCATTCATCAGCAAAATGATCTTTTCTGATATTATTACTGATAGGATATCTCTACTATTATAATAACGTACGAAATAATAATATATATTTCCGACAACGAACAATAGCAACATATTGCGGACTATGTTTTTTTACTCAAATTGGCAAAATAAATTCTTATATCACGTTTATTGAAATACCTCAATTACTACCAAAGGAATATGAAGTTATATAATAATAAAAATAGAAGACAAATGTTTAAAGTTACAGCATCTGCGTTATAACCGTTTTATAATAATAAGTACCTAATCTGTATATCATAATTTTGTTTACAGTTGGAATAAGTATGGTGGATGAGGAAGTGGAAAAAATTGGTAAGATTCGATAATATATCTTATTTTTGTAGATATAAACATGAAAATGAAACAATTGTTTAAGCACACAATCATTTATTCCAGTGGAAAGCAGAATGCTATATTTGAAACCGCAGAACATTAGTAAGTAGTTACTTTATTAAATTAATTAATTATGTAAAAATACGTTTTATTGTGGGTGATTTTATTTTTTTAAGTTGATAATGAACAATATTAACACTAAATTATGCAGATAACAGTTCTGAGAGACTAGAAAGCCTGAAGGAATATTTTGAGAAAGTTATTATGTCCGAATTCATTCAAGGTGAGTGGTTTCTCGATATTTTATAATTGAAAAATGTTATTTTTTTAAATGTTGCTGATATTTAAATAAAGCATTGGACACTTTTGTAGTCACATTATTTTACTTGGAGTCCATTAATGCGTCTACGACAGACACTGGAGTGGAAATTGAAAAGTTCTCTATAAGGCATATCTTCATTATCTTACCAATGCTTTAAAATATTTTCTTTTGTACTTGTACATATTTTAACAGTAGTTTATCTATATAATTACTATATTTGTATTTACAAATTCGCTGTTGTTTTGTAGACAATTAATTTGCTTATTTTTTTTTTAAGATTCTTCTTTATATTCTCCATTAATTTGTTTCGATATGTAGCAAAAGAAAAGTTTAAACCTTTATAAAATTCAGTAAATATCAAGTGGATAATTTAAAATGGCTAGACAAAATAATATTTATTGTAATCCAATTATCTACATATTAGATATATAACTTTAGTTACTAAATAAATATACGTTATTCCCTTAGAATCAAGCGCTCGGGATAATGTACGTGATTAATTCATTGACACATTTACTGCAGACCGATTCGATAACATTCGATGATGTTATCAAGTCGGTATCATTCGCTTTAATGTCTGTATTCTATATATATTTTGTTTTCGGTATTTGACACGGAAACAAGGACACTGATTGTAATGGACTGTATATCTACTATAATAAATTCCATTAAGAATAATGAATTCAGTTACTCGAGATTTCTTCTGTACAAATTTTCATCCCTTATTTCATTGAGATAAAAGACAGTCTATGTTTTTCTTCATTATATCATCTATCTTGATATTAAAGTCTACACACTATATAGACAGACATGCTTTCGCATTTATAATATTAGAATGGATAAATAATAGTAGGTACCTACATTAATTGTTCTTAATATTCTATGGCATTTGTTTGATACAAAAATGTTTGATTTAGGATCTACTACTCCAATGAGCCATATCCAGAATATGAATAGAAGGAAGTAGCAGGAGTCCGACTAAATATTGACGTAACTCAAATATCACCTGATGACCAGGTAGTAGTAATATTGGATTTAATCAATGTCAAAAGTAAAACTTTAATATGTCTTACTTTAAGTAGAGAATACTTTGTAATCAATTAATTTTATGTCCTTTATAAAAAACGAAGAACAATGGTGTATTAAAAATCAATATTACTGTTTTCAGAAAGAAGAAAACTCCAGAAGAACTTTGGGAATACCTATTAACATTACATATAACCCAGAAATTAATAAATAAAAAAAACAATACCGATAAACTTCAGCATGGAGTAAATTTTATTTATTTGTAATGTCTAAAACATTAATCAGTACAGAAATAAATTATAAATTTTTGTTTTAATAATCGAAAGAAACTATACAAATTATATTTTTATTATTAGTAAAGAATTAGATACGTATAAATATATAGAGGTAGAGATGTTATTGTTAAATAGATTATATTTTAGAACTGTAAACAGTAGAAAAACTGAAATAGATATTGAAAGGTAAAAGGTTACACGTGCCATCAGTGTTGCGAGTGTGAGGCTGGCGCCGCAACTTGGACAAGGCCGAGAAACAACGGACTCCCGGAAACAAATAACATCTCATGGACGCTGTCCACGCTCTATTTGTACCCTCGTATTGTTTTATACCTATCATCAATTAATACGTTATTTATAGAATATCAGGAATATAATAGAACCCTTGTGTGATACATGTAATTAAAGACGTGCCCGATGTGTACGGATTTCAAAAAACAGTTTCTTAGTGAATGCCTACATTTTATCCTCCCCATGCACAGTAATACTTTTTGTGAATACGGCCTCGTGGTTTAACACACCGCCTTACTTCCGGTGGTCGCAGATTCGAATCCTTGCACAGTACAAACATTTGTATTTATGAGTATGATTGTTTTAAATAGTCTGGGTGTTTTCTATGTATAGTATGTGTATATGTATAGTATAGGTAATATGTTACAAAAAATGTATCTATATATCCATATGAGTTGTTTAGTATATCGTATATGCTGTGTGAATTGTTCTGGGACATTATTATTATTATTTTAAGATTAATATATGAAACAGAAATTCATGACATGTTAATACAAATAATTTAGATATTTTTCTCATAAAAATAATTGTTAAACTTTGCAAAGTTTGAATTAAGCACCCTAAAATAAATTTAATTCGAAATAAACGAATTCAGCCGTCTGAGGCATCAGACACTCGAGAGTATTTCTAGTTGAGTAAACAAAAAATGTTGGTCCATTGAGGTGCATACTTTACTTTTGCAATAATATAAGATGATGAGGGAAGTAAACAAACTGTATGTTTCATTATCAGTTACAAACTAGAAAAGAAGAACGGTTGAATAATAAGAAAACATTTCAAAACGTCAACATTTCATTTGTATTATTCATCAATCTATTTTAAAAACGTACAACATTCGTAAACGTTTATAGTAAGAATGACTTCATCATAACGAATAATAAAGCGATGGAGTCCTCTTCTGAATTTCAAATGAACAGACATAATCCATATTTCAGTGGAAGCAGCAGCCACGAGCTAAACTGAATCTCGGATTACGAGTTTTGCTACAGAAAATTAAACAGTTGGATGAAAAACTAAGAAAGCAGATTGTCTTATATGTAATTCTCTTGTATAAGATGCATTTAATTACTCAAGTGCAGCACTTTGCTCTTGCCATCTTAACGAGATTTCCGTCAACTACGTAAAACGTGTTAGAACGTCCGTCTCTTTAGATTTTCGCCAAATTGCGTCCCCAGGTATACTTTAAAGCATTTGCATATTCAAACACGGTTCACAAACCCCCCTGTCTTAAAAGTAGAGAGTAATTTCTACAATCATTTCGAGTTGACATAATATCTAATTTAAATGAACAATCTGAGTGAATTCTAAGTACAAGTAAATATTTGCATTACAATAACACACAAGAACGTACACAAAATATACATATCTTTAGTTTGTATACTTCAATTTCAATTTAGCCATATATAAATATTTTGTATAATAATATTAACGACTAACAGTTCGCAGTACTTGGTTAAAAATATTTGTGTACGTCTTACACAATATTTTACACTTATATAAAAATTAACACTGTGCCTATAATTGAAACTAAGAAGAAAAAACCAACATCCAATCGTAACAAAATCGATGTGAATAATATAGGGCAAATCTTGATTGCAAAAATAATTATCTTATTTCGTTAATTCAGTTAAAAGGGCCTTATTAAACAATAATACAAAAAACGCTCTAATTAAAAATTTCGTCCTGAATTCACAGTCAGTTAATAATATACAAACTAAGGAATACATCATTATACTGGATTGTCAAGACAGACCAAGTATAAGCTCAAATGATTCGATACTATATTACTACAGCCTGTATGAGCATCATAAAACTTTCACGTAAACGAAGTAGTAAGTAATTAATATTTAAATCACATAACATTCCATTATAATTACTCAATAACAAATATATATTAAAAAATAATATATTTATACATTAAACCAAACACAGCAAGATTTCACTCTATTTCAATAAACGAAATATTTACACCGCAGTTATAATTTGAATCTGTGTGTAAATATAGTAGACTGATTTTACTAAATATAATATTCCGCGAGCGGCTGCAGTGGGTTTATTAAACATAAAACCTTTTATTTTGTTACGCGACACTGGGCTCCCAATTTTCTACTTCGCAGAAAATTGTCGACCGGGGAGACCAACGTAATCCACGATTTATTTATATTATTTTAGACAAATACTATTAGGACAGCAATCATATCTTGAATATTAAAGGATAGAATAGGATTAGGGTGCAGGTAATTCAGCAGATACCTAGATCATTTTCAGCACTGTTTCATTTTTTCGTATTATTTTCCGCGATACTTCGGTATACCTGAACGGAATTTTTATTGAAATTATAGGATTGACTTTATTGGACTTATGGTCATTGATTTTACTTTTTGTGGATCTCATTATATCTTATTAATGCGTATGTTGTTGTTGTTTACCATTTACTTGCCATACTAATGAATTATTAATTTGTAAATTGAATTGAGTACTTATATAGTTATCTTTTCCACCAATATTCTTATAGTAGTATTATTTCATTTAAACATCTACGAATGTTTAATTTTGAAACGAAAATGTTTATAGGGATAAGCAATTTTATTCTCGTTTATATAAATATTAAGAAAGAACTCTAAAAACGAAACGTGCAATTGTATATTAACGGCACCAGGAAATTATGTTTGAACCGAATGCAAAAAGGTACAATTTTATTTACTGATTCATTACAAGTGGTGCGTGACGTTACATCTTAGATGCTCCAGAGAAGCCGGAGGCTATTCTCTCGGATCAGCGTGTTGTTATTCACACAATAGAAGTATAACCAGTCAATATCGACTTTCAGTATAGTAATTTATATCTATACAATTCCACCAGCGATCGTGGTGTAACTTTAATAAATGTCAGAATGTACGAATGCAATTTCATATTTTTTACAATTCACACTGCGCTATACAGTCTCACCCACAGATTGTGTTATGGGTATTAGACAGCTGATAGAAATATTTAACTACGTTATTTTTTAAATACATTGATAATATACATAGAAAATAAAGAGACAAAAAATTATACTCATATTCATTATGACAAACGTTTAGGTCGTGCGCGGAATCGAACCTTCGACATTCGGAAGTAAAGTAGTGAGCTATCCCTGTAGACATGGTCGTCGAACGTATGATGTATTGTGTGAACTCACTAAAAAAAACGTATTCACATAAATAAAATACGTGGATTATTTGTGTACAAAATGTAGCTATTGTTGTTTAGAATAGATAGATGCTGCTCTACAATAATACCAATTTATATCACATCATATTTTTTAAAAGAATATAAATATTATTAATAACTTATTTCTAATAAATATTTAATTCATAATAACATATCACAAGAAACAGTACTAGGTACATACGTATTATAACAAAGTTCCGTATATTATTAAAGACACATGGTGTAATGATAGCTATAAATTCATAAATAAAATGAAAGTATTTACCTCAGAGAAGAGATGATGGGTAGGTAATAATTAATTCACAACGCGATTTCAATGTCAGAATTTTCCAAGCCCCTAGAAAGTAGATTTTCTTAATTCTCAGTGACTTTTATCTAACGACAACTGCCATGGAAACAACTTACAATATTTATCTACGATCAGGTATTTAATGAATAAAAGTGTTCATTCGTAAATGGAGTTTTATACAAATACATGTATGTTTTACTATATTTCAATTTACTTCAAAGATAAATAATACATAAAAATTACATACAGACAAACAAACGAATGTAATCATCATGCCTTAAAAATGAGTTACAGTATCTTTTATTTTAATATCTCAACACTTTAATATTCTAAGTTTTTCTAATTCTATTCTGTGTATAATGTATAATAACGGTAGAATGGATCTTAGCGAATTTGACCCGAAGAACTTAAGACTATATTACGAAGATGGCCGAGTTATGTATTAAAGATAAATCGGTACATTCTCATTAACCATTACCTATACAAACATTATAATGATCAGATTTAATTTTTTGTATTGCTGTCTATTTGTTAGTTCGGTTGATCGATGTACTAAAAAAATAATGACCAATTATAAATATCCATCCACCCATAAATAGCTAAACTATTTGCCAGTTCTGCCACTGGTATGATAGGTTATAGCTATATATTCCACACGAGCAGTGTCGCAGGATACAGTTAGTTATAAATATAATCGTATGGTACTTATAGGAAACTGTTTATTTTAATAGGTGTGCGGTGCGGCAGGTGAGTATACCCAATTACGTTTCGATCAGGGAACGCCGTGGGCGCGTGCGGTCTGTATAACTGGATTACTGGTCTGTGACTCCTGGTCGTCGGGTCATCTATGTCGTTAGGGAGACTGCTATCACCTACCCCGCAATTTGATACAATTTCATCAAGGTTTTGATGCTGTAATAACTTGCTTGATACTTACATTAACGTGTGAAGAACTGATTATTATTAATATAGATTAGATATAAAAATAGTAATCTTAATAATAATATAAAAGCGAAAGTTTGTGAGTGTGGATGTTTGTTATCCTTTCACGCAAACCTACTGAAAGGATTTTGTTGAAACTTTATAGTAATATAGCTTATTCAACAGACTAGCCTATATTTATTATTGAAATTTGACGCAATTGAAACCGTGGACACAGTTAGTATTATATAAATATATCTATTAATAAGGTTAGAATGGCTTGTTAGAATGGATATTCAAAATTAGAACAAAAACAACGGATTATGCTAACAGCTGTTGTCTTCGTTCTAATTTCGTATCTAGGATAAGATTATCCAAACATAAAATAAAATTAAAAAGTAGAACATGAAAAATAGGACATCAAAAATATGTGAACATTCACTTAGTTATGTATTATATTTTCTTGTATGATATTATTATAATTTTCAAATTTATATAAATAGGATTTTTTAAAACATTGTGTGTTCGCTTTCTAGTTATTTTAACTACTGCTAGTTAGAACGACCGAGAGTATACTTATTCATATACAGCTACAGCTATTACTATAGAAACATCAATATTTTCTGTCTAGGTATTAATTAGTAAACGCGGTACATACACTTTAGCTAAAATATTACATAGACACCTCGTCGATATACTGAATATCGTATTTAGGTCAGTCCAGTTTTCAGAACAGGTCGGTCGAATGCAAAAAAATGAACTGTACTAATAAATCTATGTCCAGGAGAACAAAAGACTGAAGCAACAGTAGGAAAACGAGCAAAATGTTTTTTGCGTCCCGGCGATATTGATAAAAGGTAAACAAATCGAGTACAGACGCTCTTTTTACATGAAAACGCATAGATAAAACTACACAGTATTGCCATGAAGAAATCATCTGGCCAATGTAAAATTAAATAATGCCACACTTATTTTATTTCAAATGATATTGAAATACCATAATAAAATAATATGATATATATTTCTGGGACTTAGTTAATTTGTTTTATTAAATGGAGTATGTGTATTCTATTACGATTAATTAACGGCTTCTTTCGTAGCTACTTTGATTGCAGCCATAGGATGAGATGCATATTGGCCAGATGCAAATGTATTGGTAATATATCGTAATAATATCTATGTATATTATGTATGTATTTAAGTAATATTTCTATCAGTTCTAGTACCCATAAAAAAGCTCTGCTTAGCTTAAGACTAGCTGGCGCAATGTGATTATCCTGGGTTCTTATAGAAATTCTGAACATGAATTATTAAAAGCATTATTTTCATGTAATTAGCAATAATTTTGTTCTTCGTAATGTGTCATCTGTAGACACTGTTTTATGAATGATTATTCATAAAACAGTGAATACAGATGACATAGATAATAATATAGAGATATAGATAATAATATAGAGTGATATGCGATTGCATATCACTCTATATTATTATCTATATTCGACAATGGTGAACTAAACTAAATCATTTAAATTAATTTTATACTTTATAAAATTATAAAAGGAAATCTATATTTATATACATATATATAGTGTTATTTTATATACAGATATATGTTTTTATCCGATAGCATAATGAATTAATGCTTTTCAATAACAGTAGAAAATAAAGTCATGTTATAATCTTATGCGATTTATTAAACAACTTCAAAGGATTCAGTGACCTAAATAATATCAACAAGGCCGTAACCCAATTATATCAATGACAGGGGATAGGATTCGGATTTAAGTAGAAAGTTTCTTTTATCAAGTAATATGACAGATAGACAGATATAACGATGAACTTATTGAATAAATACTTTTTACATTTATTTATTGTAAAATAATAAAGCGTGAAAGCTTTTCTATGTGTCTGCACAGTATCACGGTTAAATGAACCGGAGAGTTAAAAAAGTAACAAAACACTGACGTACATAGGGGACTATAAATCTTCTAGGTGAATAAAATTAACTTTGAAAAAATGTAATCGAGTTTTATTTAGTATGACTTGGTATCAAAGGTATAACATACTGTTTTATTAATAAAACAGTATGTTATACCTTAAAATAAAGTTTAATAGAATAAAACGACATGGAACAAGCAACATAGCAAGTAAAAGTACTAAATATAATTTCTGTACCTATAAGGCATAAAAGACTTTAAAGTTAAGATTGGCCATACAATATGTCGTTCACACAGCTACATATATCTCTAAAAGAGCTTTGGAAAGTATAATAAGGAAAGCGTATAAACGTGACCACCCTCAGTAAATCCGCCATTGTACCTACCATCGAGGTAGGAGCTAAGAAACGATACATTCTGGACTGTGATCAAAAACTTGCATTAGAAACGTAATCGAGAAGGGCTTTATTGTATCTATGCTTTATCTGTGCCAACTATCGAATATTCGAATCGATAAAATTAATTAACAAGAACTGAGTATAAGAGTCTTCATTTCATAAAAGACTACCTTACTGGAACATAATAGAAATCCAATTGAAATGTAACAATGACATCGATCCATTTGTATGGAAATAACCTAACGTTAATTAAAATCTGAATCAGATATAGAGTGCAAACACTATCCACGAGAACACGGAAATTGTATTCGACCATTATAAAAGAGTTCGGTTTATTTACTTAACAAGTTTCAAAGGGAGTGACCTGCACTCATTTCACATGGGCACCGCAGGTTGCGCTGCGACGACTGCTGATAGCCGTGCGCCGCGTTGTCGCATGACGGGACAAAGCGAATAAACGATTGTCACAGCGGGATATACTGACCGATCCCATCCCACTGTTTCCATTGACATTCGAAATGGAACGTTTTTATTTCTTTTACTAGCCATATTTTTCCTCCGAAAATAGGTTTCAATTTGCGTGGCCAAAAAGTATGCGACTCAATTGCCTGAAAGGAGCATAAAGGGACACCGCGGGACGCACCTTTGCAAAGTTACGCTACTTCTAAAATATTTAAATCTCGGGGGCGACTTTCCCCGCGCTCCCGTAAAATGCAAAACAAGCAAAGTTTCCCCCTAAATCAGCGGAGTCAGCAACGCGGTGTCCCGACGAGCCTCGCGGCTCGACAAACACACCCGGACAACAAACAAACTTTAATTTAGCTTCAATGCTGGTTTGGGTCTTTCAAATTTCTTTACATAGAAGAGCTCAAACAGCAGTTACTTTAGAATACTTTTACTTTTTCGCCTAAGAGACTTTAAATTTATGCTAGATGGAAATTAAAATTAATAACTATCAATCGTAATCATTCTAATTTATTACAAAATGTTTGAAATTCACAATCAATTAAAACAAATAATGATGATTTGATCATTTGTTTTGTTTGATTATGAATCATAATATACCTTTACATATAATTCCCTACTAATTAAAATACATATTAAGTACGCTCTGCATACTAATAGTCTAGTTATGAAAATATTAAAAAAAAATTCTCATACCTTCTATTCAATAATGGTAATGACCTGTAACAAAAAAACTCACATTAAAATATACACTTGGATTCATTCGAAATGAAGACACATATTAATAAAACAGAACAAGTGTCGAGCGGATATCTAAAACGAAGCATGCTTCCTGAATTTCTCTTTAAAGACATTTTTAAAACTCCGCCAGATGCAGCTCTGTTATATTCCTATATGTCTACATTTCCATGCACAATTTATTATTTGAAAATATTTTAAAATAATCATTGAGGGATTGTAAATGTTAAATTCATTCAGTATATTTATAATGGAGTGAAATACGACTGTACAAATTTGCGTTAGATATTTAATCCTTTAGTGGTGTAACTGGGAAAACATTCGGCTTGGATACAATCTGTCAGTAGGTTTATTTAACAATTAATATTCAGTATTTCTGCACGAACAATTCCATAGCTAGCATAATTAGACAGACAGCCTTACCCAGATTCTGGACTTATAAATGGTAAGCTGTAGATCATAACGAATGTAATATTATCTTACATTTGTTAATTATGTTTAAATGTCAAAGACATCATGAAGGATTAAAATATCAGCTTGGCACTGTTAGTAGAGTCGCTAACCGCAGTAGAATTAAGCACTGGGAAAAACATGTCCGTGCCAACATTAGGATATCGGTATAATATTATAGTCCATGTGTTTGTCTACTTATTATTGTAGACGAGAGATGTTATTATTAGATAAAAAAAATTTGAAAACATTTATTAATTAAACTATTACCGATTAAACTAATGAAATCAATAATATTATAAACAAAATACATGACCAAAGTATACTTATACATTATATCCGTTAACTAATAAAGTTCATATATGGTTTAAATACATATGTAGATAATTTATGGGTATATAAACCATATAAGGCCTTTGTTAGAAACCGTCGTACGCAATGTGCATTAACAGCATGTGTCCCCCGGGACGCCTAATTAGTAGTCATAAATGTAACTTCCAAGACTTTATCCGTACCGTGGCAAGTTCCGGAGGGAGCCCATCATGCGCAAGCCACAATAGTCTCTAACCGATTCACTTTTTCCTAGTCAAGTGATCTGAATAATAAAATTGTGGAATTCTTTAGGCCCTTGACAATGTCCTACGCAGACCCATTGTGGTGTTCGTGTACAAGTACTTTCAATTGTGTTAATTGTTTCATTGCCACCCCTTCATCTCATTTTACGTCGAGTTTGAGGGGTAAAATTTTCGTTTTCGTGGAAACGACTAAGATGAATTAATTCTTGTTAAGTATATTATTAATATAATTAAGATATAGTTATGTCATTATCATAACAACTAATCAAGAACTTACTGGTGAGCAATGGTTTTTTTTAATAAGAAAAACGATTTGTATAACAAATAATATACTTTTTATTATCACTTATTACAGAATAACTAAAGTACACGTCACATTTTGTTGCACTATTGTATTAGTTTAAGACAAGTAAAAATAGTTGTAAGAGAGGAGATAAATCTATAAAACTATAATAAAAACTAGAAAATACATATTAGTTTAACGCTCATAATTCATTACTATTTAGACATTATTTAATTTTAATTTACATCCTAGCCACCCGTTTGGGCATTACAGGGATGCATTAGAAATCATTGTTTTCTAGACTTATTCTAATTTCTATACTATAACAAGTCTATGTATCGCTGAAAACTGCATTAAAATATTGTTCTTGCGTAATTTAAAAGATAGCGAACAGTCAGGAAGGCGTCTTTGTAAAACAAAGTCGCCGCCTTTAGAGTATAACTGTAGACGTACCATACATGATGTAGTGCACAATTGCAACAAAAACACGTTTTTTGCAAGAGCAACGATAATAGAGAATTGCATACACATTCTGTTTCCTAAGGTATGTGATAGTTATGTTTTATAAAACAAAGATTTTTAAAAATATTTATATTACAAAAATCCATATTAATAAAATAAAAAACACTAAATATGCGAGTAAATTAAAAATGTTATATATTGTTACTTATAACGGACATAATAAAACTCATTTTCGACGCGATTTGGCTATTGGACTATTTGGTGTATATTACTCCAAATAATCAAAACATAATTGCGTGCAGGATATTTGAAGGATATTTCGAAATAAAGACCTTCACCATGCCTTTCCGGTAATAGCACTCTACATCCAGAGCCATGGACATAATGCTATGCATATATTACACATACAATCAAAATTTAAAAATATTACAAGCGATATCAATCGATATTTTAAGAGCAATGTTTGTATTAGTATACAAAAATTACTCTTAAAATATACAATAAAGTATATATCATATATCTATCTTTTTACTATTGTAATAAGTGTCAGAATTTAGTTCGTGATACGTAATTAGTATCCAGTATCAGTTGCACTGAGATGAAAGTTGATATAGATGTTATTTATAATTTTATGTTACTGAATACCTATGCTCATTAATTTCATTCATAATAACGTCAGATAAAATAATATTCTTTATTATGCTGTCATATAAATAAAACTTCCAGCACATTATATTTAGCGGTGGTATAATCCCGACCAGGGATGGCAATCGTGCAATATTCCACGTACAAACATCAGATTTTTGGCCTTCGATACATAGACATTTTTATCCTTGTACAAGCTTCCACGACATTTTGACTTACGCAAATCGGTCATATCACTATGATGTACCAGGTTGGAGAGCGATATTGAATTAATATACAAGATTTTATCTGATTTTTTTTTCTTCATATGAGGTTGCATTTTAAGGTTGACAACCCTAATCATGACATGCATGACAAGGGAGCTAGAGAGAGCAACGTCGGGCCCCATCAATATCTGTCGTCAGTCACCGAGTAGCCAAATAAAATTATTATGAATGACCTACCGATAGCCAGATGACGTGAAGGTTCCTGTTTCGTTCGCTCTCATATAACACGAGATGACCTAATTCGCACAAATTTTTCTCATGTCATTGCGAAGATGAGGGTATATCTTGTAATCGTTACTTATTCATATCCTGTAGTATCCGATAAACTCGTATTACGTTGTAGTTCCGTCAAAAGTTATGTTATGTGTTTAACCTGTTCTAAACAACTGTTATGAATAACAAGAACTTTTGCCGTTGAAATTTTATGACATATAGGTAATATAGGTACATGTTTATATATTCATGACTTATACTTTTATAACTCTTACGTTGCTGCTTTCGATGTCCAATGAGTTAAATATATCTTTTGCAAATACCTGAGATTGAAATAATCAATAGAAACAAAACAACGAGTATATTATCATAAATGTTACCTATAAATTAGTGTTGATGTAACCAATTTAGATGAATTGTATAAAATCCAATATCTATTATTGGAGCACAGACAATATATATAACTGTTTCAAAATGTTATACATACAACGTTCAATAATAACTTTACTAATTCACCGTAAGTGGATTATTTGTACTTACTTAGTACCACGTCTTTGAATTAATGTTCTTTCATTGTTATAAAAGGGGAGTACAATAATCTCCATAAAGATTAACGTACTCCAAAAACGCATGTATTTCGTTTATACCTTTTTACATCGGTAAAGTGATAATCCATGTGCGGTGCGAACCCGGCGCAAAATGTGTCAAGGATGATAAGCGGAAAAATCCTTCGAAAACAAAAATATACAGGGCGTCATCAAAAGCCTCGAAGAAACGGTTTAACATCTTTGTATTTGAACATATTGTACAACCGAGTATATAACAAAACCAGTAATATATAGACCTAAGATAATAAAACAACCCCTATAAAATAGACACGAACATTATTCAGCAAACAAAACACGAGCGTCGGGACGTCGAAGTTTTTATCATGTACAAAATTTATGACTCGTAAAATCCGTGATATCTCACTAATAGCAAAAAATAAATTGCAGCCTTACAGAAGACAAGTCACTTTCGTGGTGAAAATCTATTACAATCGTTAATCGAGCCAAAATTACAAAATACTTATATACCTAAGTAAAGATAATATTTCGGTTCCTATAATATATTGAGTGTTACTGTTATAAGTAAAAATTCTTTTATAAAGTATTAAGAGGTAACTTAAAATGTTTAATAAGACTTTAAATACCATGAAATAGGGTGATAATAAGCATCTCGCAGCCGCCGACGACGTCACAGAAAATAAAAAAATTAATTATTATGAATTTATTTTAAAATAAGAAACATTTATAACTTAATTTTGATTGGGAGTTTATTTCGTTTGCTACCTTTGTTAAAAATCATTACTATGCGCCGTTTGTTATTTATTTCACATCCTTATTAAAATGCAAACTTCAGAGTATGCCATAATTGCATATTCGCCATTCGATTCAGTTGTCTACAGATGTAAACTTTTAGTATATACTTGAATCCCCTTAAACATAATCGTTAGAGAAAAAAAAATAAGTTAAGATATATTAGAAAATTATTAAAAAACATATTTTGGAGAAAGGAATCATTGTAATGCAAATATCGATTAAACAATGTCTGTACATGCAGCTTTTCTTCACAATATATACATAGTTATGATACACATTAATATGGCTTCATTAGCCGGTGGCATGGAGCCAGCAATGATCTCAGTTGGTTTGAAGCTGTACCACATGGCTGTTTTAATCTACCGTTTAACTTTTATGTAGGTATACACACCGCTTTAATTACGAAAACATGAACTACTAAAATAGACATTCTTATCGTAATCAGGTCTACAGGTGCTAAAAGATAAAATGTGTTCTTAAAAGCAGAACAACCAAGTGCAAGTTATAAGATTCTAAGTGGTGCAATTAGATCGTAAAGTAATACGTGTACCACCACCATAATGCCCACAGACAATCATCTATTACGTGCAAAGAATAAGAAATTTTTCAGTCATATTTGTTTCGTGTTTCTGACTATCCTGATATAGATCTTCAGCATCTAATCTGAAACTGAATCGCTTCTATTAAAAACTATGGCAATTGTAGCCAAAATATTTACAATTGCTGC